TATATATATATATATATATATATATATATATATATATATATATATATATATATATATATATATATATATATATATATATATATATATATATATATATATATATATATATATATATATATATATAGACACACACACACACACACACACACACATGTTCTTGCGTCAAGAACGAGGAGACATAGAGCATAATATTCCAGCGAGAGATTGAGAGGCTGAAGCCTAGCGGAAAAAGAGAGATCAGAAGGGAACCATGCCAGGATCCTTCTGATATACGATGTTGTACTGAGCACGAGGAGCTCACAGCTATTTCACAGGCCATACCGTGGGTTCATGATGATTTCACTGATATCTGTATCCAACTGGTGAACTAAGAAGGGCTGATAGCACGTCCAATAACAGAAGTTATCAAGGTTGGTGTAATAAGCCATTGGGTGTAACACTAACAGAGTTAAGTGTTTAAATCATCTGTAGTAGATTATTTCAATTCACTAGTTGGTACCCATGGTGGTTGAAGGTGTAATCTTTACGGTGATTTAGTGGAAGGGCTATTACACGGACCTGGGCCCCGCAGATTAGGAGAGTTGCTCCAGTAGAAAACTTGTACAAATGCCTTGCTTAGTTTATTAACACAACATGTATTTATACAACTACGTAAAGGACTAGACTAAACACAACACAAAGCCCAAATACAAAACACGGCCCATACGACCCGCTAACACTCCCCCTCAAGTTGGCGCATGAAGATCATGAATGCCCAACTTGGACCTTAAGAACTGGAATGTTGGACAGTGGCTTGGTGAAGATATCGGCGACCTAAAGATTTGTCAGGATGTACCGAGTAGACACCTCCTTGCGCTGCACACACTCACGGACGATATGGCAATCAATGTCGATATGCTTCATTCGCTTATGAAACACTAGATTCGCTGCAATGAACAAGGCAGACTGGTTATAACAAAACAAACGGGGAGGATGCACGGCCGAAACCCCGAGGGCCTGTAGGACATGGCGGATCCACCGAATCTCTGCGCAGGTGTTGGCCATGGTGCGGTATTCTACCTCGGCAGAAGAACGGGAAACAGTTGTTTGCTTCTTAGTTTTCCACGAAATTGGGGACCCGTCGAGCATGATGAAATACCCGCTTACAGAACGACAAGTGATAGGGCAACTAGCCCAGTCGGAATCACAATAGGCCGAGATCTGCAATGTGCTATCTCGACGAAGAAAGATGCCCTGACCTGGGTGGCCCTTAAGATAGCGAAGGACCCGCATGGCCGCGGCTAAGTGATTGACCCTTGGCGCCTGCATAAACTGAGACAACACGTGAACAGAGTAGGCTAAATCAGGACAGGTAATGGTCAGATAAATCAAACGTCCCACAATCCGGCGATATCTCCCAAGGTCACGCAACACGGCACTCGCGGACTGCCCCAGGCCGTGATTCGGCTGTAGAGGCGTGTCTACGGGTTTGCAACCCAATAAACTGGCTTCTGACAAAATGTCCAATGCATATTTCCGTTGACACAGCACCATTCCAGTAGAAGATCAAGCACACTCAATTCCGAGAAAGTACTTTAACGGCCCCAAATCCTTCAAGTGAAAACAATTGTCCAAATAGTGTTTAAACGAAGAACACAAAGTAGGATTGTTTCCGGTGACGAGAATGTCATCCACATATACCAAGATAGCCATAACATCCGAGCCGCGACGAAGTAGAAATAAGGTGTGATCTTTGTGGGCCTGTCGAAAACCATACTGACGAAGAGCAATAGTCGATTTTTCAAACCAATTACGGGGCGACTGCCGTAGACCACAAAGAGACTTGCGCAAACGGCAAACTTTCCCAGGATAGAGATGCGAGTAACCAGGAGGCACCTGCATATAGACCTCGTCGTGGAGATCACCATGAAGAAAAGCATTGTTCACGTCCAGCTGATGAACCTCCCAATCCTTGGCTATGGCAACGGACAGAAAAATGCGCACCGTGCCCATTTTTGCAACGGGGGTGAACGTATCAGTGAAGTCAGTCCCCAATTCCTGGTGATTACCCATAACAACAAGGTGAGCCTTATCCCGCTCCTTGGAACCATCCAAACGAAACTTAGTCTTGTAAATCCATTGACACCCCAAAGCATGACGTCCCGGAGGGAGGTTGGTAATGTCCCAAGTGTGATTATTTTCCAAAGCTAGGATCTCCTGTTGCATGGCAATCCTCCAATTGGCATGCTTAACGGCTGTCAGAAAGGAAGTGGGGACGTCTGCGGTGGTGATGGCGGCCAGGAAACCACGGTACCTTTCATGTAATTTCTCATAATTCATGAAGTTAGTGATAGGGAAACGAGTACCTGACTTCGGAGAACAAGCGGGGGAACGAGGAATGGTGTCCGAGTTAAGAGCTGAGTGACAGACATAATCGGCCAGATGACTAGGTGGACGACGGACACGGGAGGGAACTATCCTTGACGGAACATGCGGCTGGGCTGTTCATCATTGGACGAAGGAGGGGAAGATGATGGGGCGGTGGTAGTGGGCTGGGGGACTGCCGTGGGCTGTGGGTTGACCATGGCAGTGGGCTGGGGGTTGGCCGTGACGGTAGGAAGAGGTTCAGGGAAATCGGCGTGTGAGGTGGGAGAGGGTGACATGGGGTGGGAGGGAGAGGATGCAGCAAACGGAAACACCTTTTCATCAAACTAGATGTCCCTGGAGTGGAAAATTTTATGGGACTCCATGTCGTATACACGCCACCCTTTAGTACCGGTGGGGTACCCAAGGAAGACACACTTAGTGCTCCGAGGGGCGAATTTATCCGGCGGACGTTGTAGACGACGAACATAACAAAGACACCCAAACACACGAACGTGGCTAATATCCGGGGATTTGGAATTTAGGATATCATACGGTGTCTTCCCCCCAAGGATTTTAGTGGGTGTGCGGTTGATAAGATAAACCGCGGTACGGACGCACTCCCCCCAAAACTCAACAGGTAAAGAGGCTTGAAACATTAACGACCAGGCGACATTGAGAATGTGACGATGCTTACGTTCAACACGCCCGTTTTGTTGGGGAGTACCGACGCAAGACGTCTGAACAGACACGCCCAAGTCGCGATAGAAACGGCGTAGGGAGTCGTTTAAAAATTCCGTACCATTGTCAGAGCGAACGATTTTTATGGTTTTATGGAACTGAGTATGGATGAACACAAAGAATTGGGTTAAACAACTAGTAACCGCACTTTTATCAACCAACAAGTATACCCACACAGCCCGAGAATGATCATCCACTATGGTTAAAAAATAATGAGCACCGGTAAACATACATGGAGAATAGGGACCCCACAAATCACAATGAATAAGATCAAAAATGGCCTATGCTTTATTATTACTGGACGGAAACATACTACGAGTTTGTTTGGAATAAAAACAAATATCACACGACTCAATCTTTTTAAGTGTAGATGAAGGGGTATTGAACGGGGGAAAAGACAAAACAACAGGGGAAGGATGGCCGAGCCTCTTGTGGAGAAGAGAAGCTTGGTCGACACGAAGAGCAGAGACAGTAGCAGAAGGCTGGAAAACATAGAATCCATTGCTGGCGTTACCCCGTCCAATCTCCATCATCGAAACTTGGTTCTGCAACACACAACAACGATCATCAAAAATTACATAACAGTTGGTGGCTCGTACAAGGCACCCAACCGAAAACAGACTACA